AGAAAGGCTATTGCCTCTGATGGCATCTATATATCAGTCAATTGTCAGACCCAGAAACTGGCAAGCCCTTGGCAGAACCACAAAACATGAAGTGTGGTGCTCTCCCCCTCTCTGCACCTTCAGTACAATGGGAAACTCTAACGTGGACCTTCACAGCAAAGCATGATTTTGCCCCATTGTAACCCTCCTCACCTCTGCAATGTAAAAAGCTCTCTTATTTTATTTACATTTTTTGGGGCATTCACGCTCCTGCCCACCCCCGCCTTCATTTTTCACTGGATAAGAATGGCATCACCCTGCTCCTTTTGCCCCTGGAATATTTAAATCACATATCTCAGGAGGAATTGGCTTCTACACACTGCAGCTAGAGGGCAGACCTGGCTGCATGTCATTGGCGGCCTGCTGAAAAAGAGACTACTTTCTCCCAATATTATCAGAAAAAAAAAGTTGGTATGAGCAGCAGAACAACACTGGCTATGTGAATATATTTACTGAAGATGGTGGTGAGGGTGGGTAAGAAGTGTTTTTTTGTTGTGACTTTTTATAATCCAGCACTTTTGGACATAACATTAAACTGTATCTAAACCTAAAAATAAAAATGTAATATATTGCAGCTTACCAGTTCTTAGATGCAGTTGCTTCAGTACAAATAAAATATCTCTTGAAAAGCAGTCCCCTTTCCAATCCTGTAAGTGTAAAAGACAGCACAAACATCTTTATCTCTTTTTGTAAACTACTAGTCCCATCATGCAACCATACAATGGAGAGGAATAACGGCAGGCATTTTTGAAGTCCAGCCTGTGTGATGATTAGGGATGAGTGAATCTGCCCCTGGTTCAGTTCAGGGAGGGGGAGTTTTCTGAATCCTGCTTGAAATTCATGTAGCCTGAACATGTGCAGACCCCATTGAAGTCCTGGGAAAAATCATGCATATTGCAGTGGTGTAACGTGGGTTGTCAGCACCTGGGACACAGCAAGTAATTAGCTCCGCCTAACCCTTGGACTTTTAGCACTCCCTGAGTCCCTTCAACTAGTACAGTATTAAACCCCTTACCCCCCTAAGTACATGTATTGTATTTTAAGAAAATACTGATGTAATTGAAGTAAAATGCATCTAATACTAGTATAATCAAATTTCAATACTAATGTTAATGGGAGTAGGTGAATGTACTTTTGGTATTCACCATCATGTAGGGCAGCGTACAGAAGTCACTTGTAAGTAGGGCACTGTACAGAGGTCAATAGTATGTAGGGTAGTGTACAGGGGTCAGTAATATGTAGAGCAGTGTACAGAAGTCGGTAATATGTACAGCAGTGTACAGAGGTCAGTAGGATGTAAGGCAGTATACAGAGGCCAGTAGGATGTAGGACAGTGTACAGAGGTCAGCAGGGTGTAGGGTAGTGTAAAGAGGTCAGTGGTATTGTTTTTTTTTTTATTATTGTGGTATGATAAAAATGTACAGAGGTTTGTAGTAAGTAGAGCAGTGTACAGAGGTCAGTAGTATGTATGGCAACGTAGAGGGGTCAGTAGTATGTAAACCAGTGTAAAGAGGTCAGTAGTATGTAGAGTAGTGTACAGAGGTCAGTAAGAAGTAGGGCAATGTACAGAGGTCAGTAGGATGTATTGCAATGTGCAGAGGTCATTAGCACATAGGGCAATGTACAGGGAACACTAGGGCAGAGGACAGGGGTTAGCAGAGAAGAGGGCTGGGCATGTAGAGAAGTGTACAGAGGTCATTAGAACATAGGACAGTGTACAGGGATCAGTAGGGCAGAGAACTGGGTGTCACCAGGACAGAGGACTAAGCATCAATAGGGCAGAGGACTGGGCATCAGTAGGATAGGGGACTGGGGATCAGCAGGGCAGAGCACAGGGGACAAGAGAACACAGTGGGGAAGGGTCAGCAGGCAAACTAAAGAGGGTCAGGAGAGCGCAGGGGACAGTGAGGAGGGAAAAGTACAAGGGGGTCAGAAGGGGGGTTGGGAGAGCACAATACAAGGGGGGTGAGTCAGGAGGGCACAGTATGGGGGGGTCAGGAGGGCACAGTATGGGGTAGTCAGGAGGGCACACACTAGGGGGGTAGGTAGGACACAGTATAGGGGGGTGGGAAGGCACACACCAGGGAGTTGGGAGGACACTGGAAAGGCAGGTTGGTAAGGCACACTAAAGGGGGTTGGGGGGGCACAGTATAGGGGAGTCAGGAGGGCACACTATGGGGGGGTCAGGAGGGCACAGTATGGGGGGGTCAGGAGGGCACACACCAGGGGGGTAGGGAGGGCACCATATAGGGGGGGGTGGGAAGGCACACACCAGAAGGTCGGGAGGACACAGGAAAGGTAGGTTGGTAAGGCACAGTAAAGGGGGTTTGGAGGGCACAGTACAGTGGGCCGTGACAACCCTTAATGAGCCCGTTTCATCACAGTGCTACATGAAAAAGGAGATCACACCTTCCCCATTTGTCAGCTAACAGCACTTCTATGCTAAGCTGCAGTCACTCAGTAAACGTAGCTTAGAGGTGCCTGCATGCTAATCCATGATGTAGTGCTGGCTAAGGTTACCTCTAGAAACACTGCCTCTTGCTCAGCTTCCTCTGCTCTGCTTCAGCTCACTATCACATGGGCGCGATCTCAGAAGTCGGCACATTCTCTTTCTGCCCACACAAACAGCAGTAGCCCAGAAGCTCCACCTTGGGGATGTGCTTTTGTTTTTGCAATAGAGCATCTGAAAAACTGCTGGGGGAGCAAGGTAGGGGAGGTACAGGGGGGGCAAAGATTTCAGTGGACACCAAAGCATTATACTGGAAAGCAGTGATCCACAGGACCCGCCCCTGCACCCCTCCAAATGTTGCGCCTGGGGCGACCACACAGGCTGTCCACCCACGCTATACCACTGATACCTTGCATGGCTCAAGTATTTAATCGGATGAAGACTGTTCATCATGAAATTCATCATAAAGTATCATGGCTTCCAGGGGGTTCTCCGTTAGGCTAGAAGGGTGTGTGAGCACTTTATATGTCCCATAAATGATGCACCTAGCTTCTAGAAGTGCCTTCTTGGTCTAGTAGGGTGGATTTTGCCTTCAAAAAATTCTTAAAAGGTTTTTTAGTTGTAGTTAATTTTTCTGGTAGGTGTTTACTTTTGTCTGTGACTATTTTGGGTGGATTGTTCTTCACCTTCTTTCCCTGTGACAACAGGACATGAGGAAATGGGAGGAAATGAGGGAAATGGTTGTCAAAAACACAATAAGTCACAGTCAGCAGAAAAATGATTGTCAGAAGTTCTAAACCTTCCATTCTGTGCTAAAACGTGTTTATTTTTTATTTTTTATCCAGATTTTAGAGGAAGTGAGGGAAAATCTCCCCAATAAAGACACAAACAACAAAAAAACCCAAAAAGTTTCTAACCCCCACTTCTTCCAAAGAAAAATAAAAGGTTTTAGCTGGGGTTGAGTTTTCAGGTTTATTACCTATAAATCGTACTGAAAGTTATCTTGATAGCTTGCCTTTCACAGCTCTGGCATTTCTTTAGAGAGCCTGTGTCAGTTTGAGCCACAGTTTCCAAGGCATAGATAAGAAACTAATCAGGAAAACGGTATGCCCATATAATCTGTTATTCCCAAATTACTACAAAATTACATATTTTAAAAGAGGCAATTTTAGCAAATATAGTGGAGGTTTTCTGTACCCTATAAATTAAAAATTTACTATATAAAACAAAACAGATGGCATAGTAACTATGCAATTACTTGGAAATGACACATTGTTTCAGTGAGAGTGTTATGCTCTGTACACAGTAGTAAAAATGATAGATACAAAATATGTTTTAATTTTGACAATGCTGCAAAACAGAGCTTTCATTGTTACATTCTTGGCCTTTGTCTCCTTGCCAGATTAGGACTACTATGAATTCAATAAAAAGGACCTTCAGAATATTTTAGTGCTTTACAAAGTAAAAGTCATACATCACATTTCAAAGCTCTGTAGCACAGGTTAACTGTTTTGTTCAAACTGTATTTTAAAGGATAAATACATTAAACAACCCTATACTTCTATATGCCGCCGTGGACCCCTAATTAGTGCTGTCTTTCTTCAGATTTCTGATCAGAAGTTTGGTGTACTTTTCACTGCTCTTGCCTGCACATGGCAAGTCAACAACATCATCCTTGTAAGAATTGGTGGAGTGTGCAATATTGTATACTGTATCCCTGTGCCAAGCCAGGGTATGGCCAGATTCTTTAACTCCTCTGCAGTATCAGAAGAGCTTGGTCAAGAACACACCCCAGCATGCATCATTGAGCAATGAAGGAGGTAATTTCTCTGCTCACTCTGCCTTCTTCTTCTTTCAGCATGGTCACTGCCCTGCTAAAGTCCTCATGCACACTGGATGTTTTTACAGCTGCTGTTTTTGGCTATTGATGTTTTTTTCTACAGCCAGTAAACTCCCCAGCATGTTATCCTATGTGTCCATGCACACATAGGATAACAGACTGTAATCAGCATTTTTTTGGCTGGAAAAAAAGCCCAGGACTAGTGGGTTTCTATAGGAATTTTTTAGCTGTAAAAACACTCTAACGCTGAAAAACGGGCTAAAACATGATAAATTGTGGCAAACCAGCCTTTTTGGACTTTTTTTCACCAAAAAAAACAATTTTTTTGTATTGCTAATACATAAAAGCTAAAAAATGCTGGAAAATTCATGTTTTTAACGTGACTTTACACAGCTAACATTACCAGTTATGAAAACGCCCAGTGTGCATGGAGCCTTAGACATCCACTCCAACAGAAAATGACAGCAGGATGACATCAGGACAAATTCAGATACTTACACTAATAGCATTTCAAATAAACATGTAATGGTTTTTAGAACGTTATTGATTTGTAGTTTTATTTGTCTGGAGCTATAGATAGATACTCTATATTGCCAAAAGTATTGGGACACCCCTCCAAATCATTGGATTTGGGTGTTCCAATCACCTCCATGGTCATAGGTGTATAAAAACAAGCACCTAGGCATGCAGACTGCTTCTACAAATATGTGTGAAAGAATGGGTCACTCTGAGGAGCTCAGTGAATTCAAGTGTGGTACCCTGATAGGTTGCCATCTGTGCAATAAGATATGGAAATCAATTTCCAACACAGAGTGGTTACTGTGGGGACATAAGCATCGCTCCAAAGTGCCACATCCTATTTAAATAGTATTGGAAGAACAAACCCTTTATGGACTTCATAGGCACTACATCAATGGTTCATAAAAGAATATCACTTTATTAAGCATACATAGACATACAATGATACATACAATTATAAAATTATTACAGAGTATGAAACATCCCTGTAACATACAGCTATGTATAATCAATGCATATACATGTACTACTAATAGGTCCCACAGTAAGAAAATACCGTAACTCGGCAAAAGTTAAAAGAAGATACTCTGATATTATTAAGTGCGATAGCTCAACATGTTTTGCAATAATATCTCTTCTTCAGGAGCTGTAAGGAGACTGCTATATGAAGAGATATAAGTTGATGAGCACACATTATAATCACTACCAATTGTATACATATCAGACCAGTTGGACAACTAAAATACCTTAAGGTACATGCATCTGCACGAAGGCAATGGAAGGGAGCGTCTGGCCATACCATGAGAGGCCAATCAATGAGGGGATCCCCACAAAGCTGGGGGGGCAAGTCGCCTGCCCCGCGTCAATACCTGATGTATAGAAAGTATGTAATTGTTGAAAACAGTATAATGGAGCCCTCCTTAATTATAAAAATCTAAGTAACCTCCCCACTGATTGGACATAGTAGAGTCTGGCCCACGTAGGGTGCAAATAAATAGTCTGGCACAGGGCCAGTATTATGTTGCCTCCTAAATAGGACACCAAAGGGGGGGAGAGAAAATGATTATACAGTATTCAATTTGTGCAGAAAACTAGCCCCATTTGCCCCCCCCCCCCCCCCACTACTAGGATGCCAAATAAAGAGGCAACCAGTAGCAAAAACTGCAAAACTTAAAGAAATGTCAAGCCTTACTGGCATATAATAGATCAATGACCCTAGGTGAGCTTCCTAGTAATGGCAGTATGATAATATTCTTTTTGGGATAGCCTGTTAATTTAAATTGTGGCTCTTCCGGACAGCATACATTCCCCAGACAGTCACGTGTCAATCTGTAAAAAGACACATGTACATAGGACCCCATAAGTACATCCCAATAACTCACATTAAATCCCAGTATCCATTACTGTATAGCAAATGGTTGTTTTGTTGTACCTATTTGGAGATGCAAATGTTCTTTGACCGCAAGAGATATTAGGACCGCCCCAAGAGTCTAAAATACCACCACTGTGTCATGTAAAGGGTACCGAAGTTGCCTGGAAATGCACAACGCCACCGCCATAGTACCAGGAGCCGCCACCCACCCTCCCCATTTAAGGGATCCCAACACAAGACACCCATGCCATCAGAAGGCAGCACATGATGTCACTGTGCCCGGCCGGATACGGCCGCGCATGTGCTTCGCCCAAGTGCACCACCCACCGTAGAAATGGTGGGGAGCGGGCATACAGGCTACAAACAGCGGCCATCATGGGCTACCACTGCATATAGCGGTGATGCCCATAAAGCACTGCGCCGGGCCCCCACCCAGCATGGTGGGGGCCATGGTCGCGGCGCCACCAGCCGCATATTGTTTAATGTTGAGCTATTGCACTTTATACTATCAGAGTATCTTCTTTTAACTTTTGCCAAGTTATTTCTTATTGTGGGACCTATTAGCAGTACATGTATCTGCATTGATTATACATAGCTGTATGTTACAAGGGTGGTTCATACTCTGTAATCATTTTATAATTGTATTTATCATTGTATGTCTATGTATGCTTAATAAAGTGCTTAATAAAGTTATATTCTTTTATGAACCATTGTTGTAGTGCCTATAAAGTCCATAAGGGTTTTGTTTTTCAAATACCAGTGCAATAAGCCTGTTCATGAAATTTCCTTGCTACTAAATATTCCATGGTCAGCTGTTGGTGGTACTATAACAAAGTGGAAGCAACTGGGAACAACAGCAACTCAGCCACAAAGTGGTATGCCATGTAAAATGACAGAGTGGGGCATGCTGAAGCGCACAGTGCGCAGAAGTCGCCAACTGTCCACAGAGGCAGTAGCTAAAGACCTCCAAACTTCATGTGGCCTCAGCTTAGCACAACACCAGTGCGTAGAGAGCTTCATGGAATGGGTTTCCATGACCAAGCAGCTGCATCCAAGCCTTACATCACCAAGTGCAATTCAAAGCGTCGGATGCAGTGGTGTAAAGCACGCCATCACTTGACTCTAGCACGGTGGAGACGTGTTCTCGGGACTGATGAATCACTCTTCTGTGTCTGGCAATCCGATGGACCTGTTTGGGTTTGGCGGTTGCCAGGAGAATGGTACTTGCCTGACTTCATTGTGCTAAGTATAAAGTTTGGTGGAAGGCGGATTATGGTGTAGGGTTGTTTTTGAGGGCTTGGGCTTAGCCCCTTAGTTCCAGTGAAGGGAAATCTTGAGATGTCAGCATACCAAGACATTTTGGACAATTTCAGGCTCCCTGTCCTGACCTCAACCCTAAAGAAACACCATTGGGATGAATTAGAGCGGAGACTGCGAGCCAGGCCTTTTCGTCCAACATCAGTGCCTGACCTCACAAATGGAAGAATGGTCAAACATTCCCATAGACACATTTATAAACCTTATGGGCAGCCTTTCCAGAAGAGTCGAAGCTGTTATAGCTGCAAAGGGTGGGCCAACTCAATATTGAACCCTACGGTCTAAGACTGGGATGTCATTAGAGTTCATGTGTGTGTAAAGGCAGGCATCCCAATACTTTTAGCAATATAGTGTAGATAGACAGACAGATAGATAGATAGATAGATAGATAGATAGATAGATAGATAGATAGATAGATAGATAGATAGATAGATAGATCTGTAATATATATATAAAAACATGTATTGCTTATTTCTATTTTGATTTGTAATATATGCAAAAAAAAGTTTTTTTATATATGTGTAATATAAAGGGCCAGTCCATCCAAAACGTACAGTTAGGCCAGTATTTTTAAACCTCGTAGGGACATCATGATGGTCTCTCACTCTTCCACCTGTATTTTTTATTTATTCTTAATAATGAATAATGCAGAAAAAGGTGCTGGAACCTTTAGAGGTGGGTGGAAAAGTGCAAAAGTTCCAGGTGGGCAGGAACAGTTTGGAAGTATGGCAGGGAGTCACTGTTAATAGAGTCAATATTCAAAATGTAACAGAGGCCAGAGGCTGATTTAGATGACTGGACTTATAACTAAAATAGTACTTTTGGCTAGACATACAGGGATTTATTTACTAAAGCTGGAGAGTGCAAAATCAGGCTCACTTCTGCATGGAATCCAATCAACTTCCAGGTTTTATTGCCAAAGCTTAATTGAACAAGCTGAGGTTAGAAGCTGATTGGTTTCTATGCAGAAGTGAGCCTAATTTTGGACTCTCCAGCTTTAGTAAATTAACTCCTGTATGTCTAGCCAGTTTCAGTAGCATTTTCATTTGTCTAGGTATCACGTGAGACACTACTCAGTTTGGTGCATGTTTTTTAGATGATCCTTGAGCAAGCATGATTATGGTATGTCCCTAATAAAGTATGTTTTACTACCAACCTTTTGATGTCCACTAAAGAAGTTGATGTGTTCTCTTCATCTCTGTTACTCACTGTTGGCACCAGGGGCGGAATGACCATTCGAGCACTCGGGCACTGCCCGAGGGCCTGGGGTCAGTAGGGGGCCCCATGAAATGCCCTTAATACATTTCATAGGCTTTTTTGGGTTTGGTTTCAGTGTGGGTGAGGACACAGGGGCCCCATGATCCCCTATTGCCCAGGGGCCCCATGAGTTGTCAGTCCGCCCCTGATTGGCACAGTATTACAATGACTTCCAGTGCAGTCCTTTCCTCATCATGTGTGATCTTTTCTAACTCCAGTACTGAAGACTGTTAGAAATAAGGATTATACAAGGAATCAAATACATCAGCTATTCTCAAAATCTAATTCAGCCTTCTGAACTCAAAGCTCGAACGCGAACCAAAGGCAGGTCAGTTCCTTACGTAAGGTAAGAAAAGAATCATATGTCAAGAAGGCAATTTTAATCACGGTTGTAATTTTACCTGACAGCTACCAAGTGTTACCTGCTCCTGTATAATCTGGAGAAAAGAGTGTAGGGAGCTTAGTTTGTTCATCACGTTATTGTTTTGCCCACAGCATTGCAAGGACAAAACTTGGATGGAGATCAAGTAAAAAGCTTTAACTTGGGTGTCATGATAGGTGAAAGTGCTCAGTTGCTAATATAAACAAGGATGTTTAAACCTGAACTCCAAGCAAACAGCTAAATACACAGATGAAATACACATAAGAGAGCAGCTTTACCTGTCAAAGATTGTATTTTTCTATCCAGTTTGCCCTGCACTAAGAGTTACAGTCTTGACACACAGCACAGCTTGAACTTTATCTGGTAACATTATAGACTGTTGGTGTCCACCATTCACCCACAGCCTGCTGACTGGAAAGTGAAAGAGCAGCCACAGAATGATGAGGTGATCTCTCTGCTTACTCTGCTGTCTCCTCCAATCAGCAGTTGCTTGTCAGCACATTTGCATGTATAACACCTAATTGGCTCCCCGTTTCACAGTCTGAGTGGTACCATACAGGAGATTGCAAAGAGTTGACATCAAGTCAAATTTATGTTCTTACGCTAGCTGCATTCTAATAAGATAACATTAATGATGTATTATTTTAACAAAAAAATAAATAATTTGTGTCTTTATTTAATCTACCTGAAGTTCAGATTTGATAAAACCCAAGGTCTGTTTTCATCCTTTTTGACATCTTTATGCAATTAGTGTGTCCTAGCATTAAGGCTTACCTGATTCTTTAGCCTTTTTTGAAACCTTTTGACACCTTTTTTCAATACTATTCCATTACAAGCACTACACTTTCACACTGAGGAGTTTTTGAACCATTTGTGCATTAAAAAAGCGCCTAAAAAGCTCAAGAAAAATGCTTCCCAATGTATATCTATACATGTTTTCACACTGAGGCCCTACGCTTGCTGTGCGGTGTAAAAACTCCTGCTTGCAGCATCTTTGGGGCTTATTTGGTAAGTTAAAAAAAGTTCCAGTAACGCTTCTTCTTGTTGAAATCAATGGAAAATGCCTGAAAAGCATCTCAAAATCGCCTCTGCAAAGTGTTTTTGGAGCAGTTTTTAAGTCACGTGTCCTTTAAAAATGCTCAGAAAGCATGGCAAAAGCGCGCTAAAAACTCCTATGTGTTTTTGCTGCGTTTTTGTGGCAGATCAGTGTGAAAGTGGCCTAATAAAGGGTACACTGTTTCTGTCAGTGATGCCTCATACTTACAGAGGTTTAATATGTACTAGTAACTGACCTTTATTCCCAAAATACACCACAAGTATAGTCAAAGACTCTTGTCCAAGTCTCGAGCTTTGTCCCACACAAACCCCATGAGCCTTTTCCCTCTTGAGCCTCAGAGTATTTTTTGTTTGCTTGTTTCCTTTTTGTGTCTTATGTCTCAATCAACATTTTTAATCCTTATGCCTCTAGCATTAGTAAAGAGATATGAAAGTATATTGCTTTAAAGTGTTACTAAACCCACAACAGTAAAATCAGTCTGTATATGCAGTAAAGCATGCTTGTTATACTCACTGTGGAACCTAAGGGGTTAATCCCCTGCATTGTGTAAAAAGGCTGTTTGATCCTGTTTTTTCTAGGAGTCACTCTGCACATGCTCAGTTTGGTGTGTATGGCTAGAGAGTTTCTTTTTTCTTAGGGATGGTACATATGATCAGCACAGGGCCAATCAGCACTGTCTGGACAGAGGGTCAGGGGATATGCAGCCTCATAGTCAGAGCAGAATGAAAACTATAAGCTATAAACCAGTGCTCAGCTGGACACTGATAGAAGTCACAAGACTGCTATATACTGCTGATGAGAAAAGGTATTTAGCAGTTTATAGTTACTATAATAATTGCATTTTCATGTTGTGTGTACTGTGATATAGTGAATGCAGGGTCTTGGGTTTGGTAACACTTTAAAACTTTTTTAAAATTTCTTCAATTATTTCCTGGGCAAATGATGTCATACATCCCAGGAATCTTTTGGAGGGGAAGAGTGAAGGAGGGGTTTTCTTGGCTAAGCACACCTTCCTGCCTGCATGTCTGAGCTAAGGTCAGATGGATTGCAGGAAATAAATTTTACATGAATCAGTTGCTCTCACTCAAGATGGCCATGGCCAGAAATGCTGTGGGGATGTTTTTTAAAGTGATTTCCCAAAAAATAAAGCATGGAGACGTAGATGGATGTGTGCATTTGCTTTGAATATGAAAAATTTATGAAATAGCGGTTTTGATTTGTGGTGCTCAGATACAGTGTAATTCTGATTTAACTTTTGTAGTCAATCCTAATATATTATACACCATTCTTTGAGAGGAAGAGCTTTAATTTGCTGGTAGACTTGGCTACATATATTCTTCTTCCTAGGTTTTGAATAGGAATGAATAGTAAAAAATTCAAAACAATTATTTTGTCTAGTTTTTTTTCCAACACAGCTTTCATGTAGTTTGCACACCCCCAAAAGAAGTCTTTTGATTTAAACTAAACCACATTAAATTAATTTTAAGGTAATAAAGCCAAAACTGTAAGCTCAAAATAGATGTTTACATTTTACTTTAGGAGACCTGTATTACCTAAATTAAAGTTCAACCTTTAACTTTGACAATATAGTGAGCAATTGGTCAACAATAAACTACTACAGCAGTGATCTGCTGCTGCAGAGCAAGTCAGAACAAAGGTGCATCAGATCTGTCCTGGCCTTTGTATATAAAGGAACAGCTTTAACATTACTTATAAGGTAAG